CACCCCCGACCACCACCGCCCCGCCGCAAGCTGTTCCCACCCAGAACTATCTATCAGATGTGCCGCCGCTCTCGCGCCAAAGTTTGGCGGAGGAATGAAATACTTTTAACAATTACGAGCTGCAGGCGCTGCTGGGGCGCGAGAGCGCGGCGCTCGTTATTGCCAAAGCCGCTGCGAGCACGGCGTCGAGGAGGCGGCCCCCGCCCCCAGCCCTGCCCGACGACGCTCTCCAGCAGCAGCAGCGCGACAATCAGCGCATCAGGAAGCGCCGCCGCGGTCGGGGGCGGCGGGGGCGTGCCGCAGTGCTCGCGGATCGTGCGGCGTCGCGTCGCGTCGTTCTCCGAGTCCCCGAGTCGTCCTGACTCCAGTCACGTCCCGGTATGTCCCGCGGCCCCCGTGGGACGGGCCGGGTGGCCGGGTACTCCGCGGCGGCTCCAGGTCGTTCTCACCCCGGCAGCGGCAGCTCCAGCTTACTCGCGCGCAGGACCAGGATCCCCCTGCTCGACGTGCGTTGAAGGCAGAGCACAGCGTTTGCGGGGTTGGCGGCGACGGGGGGTCCCCTGCGGGGTGGACGTGCACCTGCCGCCCAGGAGGCTGGATTCGAAACAGCGATGATGAGGAAACGAGGGCCTGGAGGCTGGGACTACACCTCGGCGGCTAGAAAGGCCCCAGGGCAGGGCTTAATTAAGTAGGGGTGCGAGTATGCCACCCAGGTGCAGGACCGCCAGGGAAAGGTGTGCAGTCCATCGTCGGCAAGACTCAAGACACAAGTTGGGACCAAAGACGAACGCAACATGGTGTCAGAATCGCCCATGGCGACGTGCATAGCTCATGTCGATGCTGAAGGGTTCCTCACCTGCTACGGCAACAAGAAGAAACGTCCATATATCCATGGGAGAGCTTGCCGATGTATCCTTTCACTTGGTGGGGTTGCCAAAACACCAGCCGATCACACAATCACTAAACACAGTCGGAGGGTCTGATCGCACACACACTCTCACACTCCTCCCCTCACTGACAACACCACCACCACTCCCCTTCCGCGCACTGTCAACCAAGACGAAAAGTGAGGTTAACAGGAGGAATGCCCATTCACGTCGGGTCCAGGGCGCTCCGGTCCGGGAGGCCCTTGCCGGCCTTGGCGGCGAGGGGCAGTAGTCCAGTCCCCGGGCAGGCGTTCACTCGCGACGCGGTGGAGTCCTCGCGGGGGACGAGCACGCCCCCGACCGGAGGGGGGACGGCAGAGAAACACTCGCGACACGGGCCGACATGAACGAGACGGTGCGGGACGCTGCGAGGCGCGCTCACATGGTGCCTCGGCCTCGACCTCCCTCGCCTGCTTCTGGGCGAGTATTGACCAGCGTGGTCTGGTGGTGCTCGGTTGGGCTGGGAGGTTGGGTTGGAGCGCGGCGCGGCGCTCGGCGCAAGGCCCGCCTTTGAGCGGCCCCGCCCCGCCCGACCCGCCCCCTGCCCCCGCCGGCGCTCGGCTCCGCTCGGCTCGCGCTCGGCCGCGGCTCGGCTCCTTCGCGCCCGGGCCCGAAGTCTGCCGCGGGCGGGACGGGACGGGCGGGACCGGGGACCCGGGTAATAAAACGGGGAAGACGGGACGGGGTGGGTGGGTGCATGTGAGGAGTGTGGGGTGCCGGGGTGTGGCGGAGCGTGGCGGGCTCGTAAGAATCCTCTCCTTCATAACCCACCGCACCATACAGTTGTTATTGCCTGTGGCTGCATGGAGTATGAAGACACACAACACTCGATCCTTGAAATCAAGTGTGTTAAGTCAAGGAGTTAAGTAAGGATCGGTAACCGAGAAAATCAAAACTTTATGTATGTCTGGCATTGATTTAATTAAGTTAGACAACTTTGTACATAATTGTATAAATGGTACAAACTTTGTAGAAATAACTAAACAAAAAACAAGAGAAAAAGAATTCAGGTATACAAATTTTAAACTATGAGAAACTTTGATAAAGGGTTAAAACACTATATTCGTTGGTACAATTTGAGCTTGGCTCATTTCCTATGGTTAAATAGACCTTTCTACAGCAAAACATTGAAACAACCACGAAATAAAATTTTTCCAATTGAAGTTCCCTAAACAACCAATTTTCATTTTAGCAACAAGCATGACTAAATATTTTCTTCTCTGTAGAACTTAACATATTGCACAAAGTAGAATAACCGGGTCTATCAGCTATTTTTTTTACGTACAAGAAAGAAAAACAAGAAAACAATCGTAACGCAGTTCAGCAGAAATTAAACATCCCCTTTCACTGAACTAGACTAAATAAACCCCATTCTAAAGCTATAGATAAACCTTACATAAAAGATGGCGGTAGCACAAGTACGTCATTTAAGTACATAGGCATAGTCAATCGACACCAAAGTGAGAGTTGGCACATAGAAAGAAAAAGCTGCAAAAGGCAGCCTTCACCATGCAGAATCCTACAGATAGCTGGACCAAAAAGAAGATATGAAAAAAAAAAGAGCTCTACCAAGTTAACTATATCAAATTATGAAGACAATGGAAGGACTCAAATTAATCCAGACAGGATTTAACCCTCATAACACAATTCACACAATGAGGAATTAACTCCATAAAGTACACTGGTTAATCAGTCTTAGTCAAGAAGAGGGAAATCAATGGACAGGAAAACTTCCAGAGTCTTGCAAACATTCCACAAATTCCCAGCTACAATAATAAACAGATTTTGACAGTCCATGGGGAAAAATATCCCATAAAAGATTTACAAAAACTTAGCTATTTTGATTTAAACTTTTGAGGTACCAAATATAATACATAGCACCAGTACACTTCTTTTCGTAGTCACACTAACAATTTAATCCTGAAACTCTGCTTGGATAGCTACTGAAAGAACAAACTACATAGCAAATTATCAGAATCAGTCTTCACTCAACTGTCAAAGACTTCCATTGAAAAGTAATACCAGAGGAAGAAAGAAGAATGACTAACCCATTTCATTCCAAAGTTACAACAGATTGAGATGAAAAGTAATGCTATGAATTATAATTGTAGTCAGAACATGTCAGTGAAAGCATAACAGACGGTTTGCTTCAGCTAAAACGGAATGGGCAAGTTTTAAAGTGCTCATTTGAACTGGCTCCATCACCATAATTTGATACGTAAAAATTTGTTAGAAGACATGAATTGTAATGCAGCTAACGCAGATGAGAAATTATCCTGTCCATATGTCTTAAGAGTTAATTTTAAAAAATAATTGTACATTAACAGAATGTTCAAGTAAGAATGAATGAGGTAGAGCGGCTCTCTCATGTTATAATTATTCATGCACAGTGAAGTTGTTTGGAATTTATTCAAAAACATGTCACAGCTATACATAAAAATTGAGCCATTGGACAAAAAATTCCGATTCTTCTTACATGGGTCAATTTGACCATACAAGCAAACATATTATGACTGATATCACACATGAATAAAGCGAATAGCGAGACCTCAACAGTCTCCTTACAAAGCTTTCCTCTCAAAAAACTACCTACAAGATTTCACAATAATACATGCATTAAAAAATTTAATATAAATGCTGCTCTTTTACAGGATAGTCATACGCAATAGTCCACTGTTCATTTAAAGGCTAAAATATGTTTCAGCCAAACCCATTCAATTATTAGATATCTCAATTATAGATAGATATCCAATAAGGTACCTGGAATGCAATTTGGATAATATGGAAGTGGATAGATAGAAAAATGATACCAGAGATAAATACAACCCATTAGACTTCAGGTTGAATGGGAAGGTAAATTGTTAATACTGATAATATTGTTAAAGAAAGACCCACTCACACTGAAACCACATTTCCCCAAAATTGAACTAGAAAATATGAATGAACAGGATAAAATCCTTGATGAAAGATGGTATACAAATATAGTGAGACTAGTAGTCAGTGTATACATTGAAGTCATTGGCCAGAAAACCCAAGTTCCCCTGATTTGAGGAACCAAATATGATAAAATTTGGTAGTAAACACCCGCTTATGTGAACACAATATCTTTACCATCTTTCATCCCTTGGCCTACTTAACTCGTATGAGTTGAAAGAAAAGGAAGAAATAAATACCAAACTCCATTTCATTGCAATACAAGAAAGAAGTGGATAGATAAAGAGAGGCTGGGACACTTTAAAAAGCCATAAAAACTTTCAATCTACACATATTATAAACAATAAAAATGATACAGTCCAGAATGGGACAGTCAATAAAAGTAAAAATCACACTTACATAACTAGGGCAACAAGTAGCTGTATAAATGCCCTCTAGTTAACATGAAAATTATAAGACAAAGGTGGTGGTTTCTCTCTTGAAGTCATTACTGATTAAGGTGGATACATATTTCGCACACTGCCAAAATGCAATTTAGATTGTACATCTCTTTAAAAGCATGATTCTTAAACTGGGGGGTAATACAAACACAAATTAATTTAACTTATAAACATATCATAAAGTCAACAACACTTAAAAAAAAACTACAAAATAAAATCTATAAGAAAGAAAACACAGAATTCTCAAAAAGAAAATTTGAATCACTAATTGTTTTTCACGGGGTGGGTGGGTGCATGTGAGGAGTGTGGGG